TTAATCCGCTGGAATACATGTTTTGAAATAGAAAATCAAGTTCAGCGAATATTGTATAACACAATGTCTGAAAGGTAGTAGCACTGAATATATTGGTATGTAGGGTGTGACCAAGTGCTAGAGAAAATGTAACAATTTTATATAAAAAAAAAAGACACTTACATTTTATTAATAAACTTTGACCCAAACTTTTCGAAGCAAGCACTTCATCGTCAGGGTCACAACACAAAGTATATATCGCGAGCAAATAGTAAAATCAGGCATTTTGTCAAATGCCTAGGCAAATAATCAAATAAATTAACATAGATTGAAATTTTGATTATTTTCCTAATTTTAGACAAAATATGTAATTGCTCCCGTAAGAAAAAATTATCAGTAAAAATTTGCATCACACAAAAGTATTTTAAATGATTTTTAGCTCCTGCATGAGCAGCCACTTATCTTGAAATTTGCAGCATGTCATAAAAAACGGAATTTTTAGAATTTCAACGTTTAAAAATATGAGAAGCAATCGAAGAGGCATCGACAAAAAGAGTTCGTAGGTTTAACGAGATATTTTCCCCTAAAATATTGAAAACTCGTGAGATCTCCGCCATAAATTTACAAAATTTTGTAGACCTTCAAAATTTAACTGTCTGCCTAGGCATTTGATAAAATGCCTGATTTTACTATTTGCCTGCGACATAAACATCACAAAGGCCATGGAGACTCCCTGCCATTCTCTACGTAATTTATTTAATACTATCTTAATTCTTCTTCCCCTTAGGCAGAATATTCTGTCTTCATTTCAAGCTAAGAAGTTCGTGTCTTTCTTATTTAAAAAAATTGAAAAAAAAATCCTCGACGTCGAGCTCCAAGGGATCGAAACCCTAACCCTAGATTAAGATGATTCGATGGACGCCATATTTTGTGTCAGAACGGCATGCGATATATCGCATCAATTGGTTCCATTTTTCCAGCTACTCGTCATTTATCTCCAATTTTGATATCGCAATTCTGTTGTCAGGGGACTAAAGCACTCACTTACCAATTCCAACAAAGAAACTCAACGTAATAAAGGCGTGGTTTTTTCAGAGAGAAAACATCGAATTCGATACTGATATCGAACTCGACTGCGATGTTTTCTCTCTGAAAAAACCACCCCTTTATTACGTTGAGTTTCTTTGTTGGAATTGGTGAGTGAGTGCTTTAGTCTCCTGACAACAGAATTGCGGTCTCAAAATTGAAGAAAAATGACGAGTAGCTGAAAAAATGAAACCAATTGATGCGATATATCGCATGCCGTTCTGATACAAAATATGGCGTCCATCGAATCACCTTAACTCCTAACCGTAGTAATAACGTTTTTTATCAATAAATTCAACCTTTCCGCCCATGAAAGAAAGAATAATTTACTTGCGTTAAATTGCACGCCAAACGTCACTATGGCAGTCTCAGTAATATGAAAATAGGGCAACCTCAATATTAACGCTCAGCTTAAGCCGCACACACTTTGAACAACACAAAGTGGGAAAGGAACAATGCTCGATTGAGTAGTCTGCTAAAGCCGTTGTAGTGCGCAATTTGACTCGCGCAGGGTTTTGTTTCTCTCGTGACCGGGCAATTCAAAATTCCCGTAATCAATGGACAATAAAAACGTTACGTATGGACGTTAGCTTAACAAGACGTTGATTTCAGTAGTTTTCGTTGCGCGAATTGTATTCTGCATACAATTCTGGTGAAGAATCATGTATCAGAGTTCTTAAATTCGTACCTTGTTCAATGGTCCATTCAATCTAAAGAAGCGAACATAGAGAAGTTCTTAGCTTTTTTTAGAAAAAATATTGTATAAGGAGAAACTAGGCAACGTTGGAATGCTCATACGGCGTTGAAACACACCATGGGCTTTTTAGGCCCCATTGCTCGATGCCGCGAATATCGTGGCGGGAGTTCAACCCATATCAGACGATCAAAGTGTAGCTCTCAAAGAGGAGTCACGTGGGGTCACGTGACCCCAATGAGGCAATGAGAGGACCAATGGAGGGTCACGTGACCACACGTGACACCATTTTGAGAGCTCTACTTTGATCGTCTAACAAGGGCTTTCGAATAATCGCGCCAAACACAGTGTGGTCGGCGTCGATCTCATATCAGCGCCTGCAAGACTACAGGAATACTTCACGCATTGCGTCAAACAGTGCGGTCGGAGTCAAAGGCATATTAGCGCCTACAAGCCTGCATGAATACTTCTCGCATTGCACCAAACGCAATGCTAGAGTTATTTGCGATAACTATTCGACCTCGAGTGTAGGCACATTGCCGCTAGCTGGATTGAAGGCGCATCGCACTGTGAAGATGACTCGACACTCGATTGCGCTCCCTTCCCTGGCGATGTTTAAACGATAAAGCGATTCTGAAACTTGACTCGCGTAAAATTAAATTTGGTTTAATACAAAGAGAACAGAACGAGCGATAATACAGCGTCGAAATGTTTTGTGCTTTTATTTTAAATCATTCTGGAAATTTCTAACAGCTGCGTGTAGCTTTTTTTTTTTTTTTTAAAAAAAAATTAATTAAAAATAAAACACGAGTAGAGATGTGCAACATTGCAATCGCAGATAAGAACACTTTTTTCAGCGTGCAGGCATCGATATTTGAATTCATTCGCGACAGGCGTAACAAGATACTTAACTATTCGACCATGCCGCCGTGTAAAGGAAAAACGCCGTATGAGCATTCGAGAGTTGCCAAATTTCCTCCGATACAATGTTTATTTTTGAGAAAAGTTATGAATATTTTTCCGTAAAATTTTCAGATAATGTATATTAAATTGCGAACAAAATTATCTGAAATATTGGAAGGAAAATATTCATGAGTTCACCAGGAAATACGTGTTATATCCAAGGAAATTTAGCAACGCCGGAAGGTTCATACGGCGTTCTTCCTTTGCACGGCAGCATGGGTATAGACATATTCTGCCGTGCTAAGGAAAAACGCCGTATGAGCATTCAGGCGTTGCCGAATTTCCTCAGGCAAATCACTAATTTATAGGAACATTTTTCAATATTTTTCTACCAATTTCTCAGATAATTTTATTTGTAATTTGATCTTAAGTGTCTGCAATTTTCAAAGGAAAAAATGTATAATTTTCCTCAAAAATAAACATTTTATCGAAGGAAATTTGGTAACTATCGAATGCTCATACGGCGTTTTTCCTTAGCACGGCAGCATTGCTAGCCGGAAGAAAGGATTCTCACTGCAAAGATGACTCCACCGCGTTTCCCTTCCCTGTCTCAGGCGACGCTGAAGCCACCGTTAAAATAGGATTATGTGTCATCGTTCTTGACTTCCTGATCCGGATTTTACCACAAGTCAAGGGAAAATATGTACCCTCGTTGCAATGATTCAGAAACTCTAATGGTTTTTAATTGTATTTGGTCACATATACAAAGAAAATACAACGAATGAAAATATCGCCTAGAAATTTTCGACGCTTATATTTGCGATAATTTTGGAAACTGCAAGGATTCTCCTCAGAAAGACTGTGTCTACCTTTTTAAAAATGGTGTTTAAAAATAAAACATAAAACGTGGTGCAAAAAGTTGCGATCAGAGATAAATACGCTCTCTTTCGTGAGCACCCGTTGGCTTTTAAATTCATCCATCTCGTAAATATTTTTCTTCCGATGTTCCAGAAATCGTAGTCGCGAAGTCATCAACAAAACTATCTGAGTATTTCGAGGAAAAATATTCATAGCTTTTCTGCACAGCAAAAAAATAATCAATATTTTACAGGGGAAAATTCGGCAATGCTCAAATGTTCATACAGCGTTCTGCCTTTGAAACATTAATACATTTTACATACATTTTAACATTTTATTTGACTTTTTCTAGCGTGTAGGAACAGATAGATGTTTTTGATGTCTTTCTTTCCAAAAAGGTTTAACTCAACTTGATGATTCGCTCAAAAGTTAGAAGTATAGGTTTGGTCCCTGCTCCTCCCCTGTAGGCAGGCCTGTGTTGCCCCTAGAAAGATAGATCATACCTGAAAGAAGGCCAAATCTACTGAAAGATAACAAAAATACTGAAATGAGGAGGGAGCTAAAAAAGAGGAAATATTCATAAATGAACTACAATGCTTTGAAAGCAAACGCTGCTAATGCAGATTCTCTTATGTTTTTATTAACTATTGTGATGACCACCATTTACAATGGAGAAATAAGTCTCATTGGGATGGTCATCCTTCCTTCAGAGATAAACCCGATTCCATATAAGGCGTAATTTTATAACTTCACGACTTATACTCTTACATGGAATCAAGTATTATCACTGGAGGAGCGGTTGTAAGATATAATTGACGAAATACTCTGAAATTCACCCTTAAAGTGAAAATCCAAGTATTTGGACAATTATACCTGCTGAAATGCAGTGGGAGAGCAGAATCAGAAAACTGATTAAAAATAATTTAAAAATTTAAACATTCATGCTTTTTACGGTTTGTACGATCGGGATTATTTCAAGTTAAAAAGTACGAGAAGATTGGCGTTTTACAAATTTATTAATTAGAAAATTTTGAGAAAATTTTGAAAAAGGTGAAAATTAACGAATTTTGAAAAAATATTTAAATCGTCTAAAATGACAAGAATAAGAAAGGTCTTTCGACGATTCACCGAGATGTCCAGGGGTTCCATGTTCCAAAAGTCGTAAGTGTCCAGAGTCCAGAAAACAAGAGAGAGAGATGTGGTCGAGCCGAGACTCTCGACCAGAGTCCCCGTACTCGCTGAGCTGAGGCTCCTTGCAAGCCCACAGATCAAGTCGATAAAAAACGAACGAAGTTTATCAAAAAATTAATGAGCGCAATTTAGATAAAGAGTTAAGCTCCTTATCTAAATATCTCACTATGTTTATCCTATCATTCAAATATTTGTAACTCATTGAAAACGTTTCAAGCACTGGCTGGCTTTAGTGTCTGGTCTCACCTAGAATCAATGGTTGTAATGGATTTTAAATGAAAATTCAGTGTTGCAAGAATCAAAATTTTATTAAATGAAAAACGAGAAAATGAAGGTAATCTCATTTTTTTTTTGTACTTTCGAGAATAAAGTAACAAAAATTGTGCAACAGCCCCACTTTCACAAGACGTTGCACATTAAAGCATTTAACACAAAAAATAATACTGATAAATGACTGGATATTCAAAAGTAACAATTAGTTATTGTTCATAGAATCACAGCTTTGCAGATTAATTCAGTCTTGAAATTAAAAAGTCCATTTCGACGTACAAAAAAAATTGTAGAAATAAACACGCATCTCATGATATCTCACAGGAACAGAGATCAATAATGCAAAAACTATAGATGGTCGATCCTATGCTCTGCCTATGGTGAGTTATGTACTCTACTAGCAGAAAAAGTTAGGTTACAAGGATAGTGAATTTCCATGGTTGAGCATGACCCTCTTCTGTTTTTGTGCTTCTATCAAATTCAGAACATGACTATATAATAGAATTTTGAACGTTTAACATTACAAATCGTTTAATGTAAAAACACCTGTAAGAACTCATGTTATTTTCAGGTTTGCAGTTTAGGACGAAGTAAGTTCCAACCCCCCTCCCCTTGAGGGCATATTAAACAATCGCTCTATGCTGGGTACGTTTTCTCATAGGGTATCAGTACCCCCAATCTATAGTCTTCACATCCTTGATCAAGACAAACAAAATGGGCATCTGTTCAAAGTACCAAGTTTTTAGGAGAATGGAAATAAATTCCAATCAGAACAAAAAAAAATCCAAAAATTTGAGCAAAAAAATATTTCAGGTACTACTTCCCGATCAGAATGATCAAAACTAGACTACATACTTAAACATTAATGGACGAGTTTTTTCAAGAATATTTTCTCTATGATTTGGACTGCATTTTGCAAAAAGGAACTATTTCTGGCTTATATATAAGAGGAATTACCTATACCCGTAAACTAATGGCATAGTTCCTTCATGTAAAATTTAGTACCATGGGACATTGATCATTTAAATGACTTCTGCCTCTGTTGCAAGCAACAGAAGGTCAGATTTTCCTTTGGAGTAGAAAAAAGATGCAAATTACTAATTTATAACATGCCTTTTTCTCCACATCATAATCATAGGACTTAGTGGTTGTTCTCATGACTGGATTTACAATAAAACTTCCAAAGGAGTGACAAAACTAACTTGCTAACTTAAAAAAGTGGCATTGCTCTCTGTCTGCATTTGTAGATTTAGAGGAAGCTGCTATTTAGAGCCTGATATTCATTGACACACAAGGCGTCAGAAAAATCTCATCGATTTTGAGAGTTCAATTTAAAATTTGAAGTTGACTTTTCCAGAGATGGTATGGTTCTTGCAAAATTATGGTCACCATATTGAGGAACATTGACAGCAGTAATATAATTAGAGATTCGAGTCTTAAAAATTGAGGGCATTGATTCTGAAGAAAACTACCTTTTTGCTGTTGCTTCTGATATTGCTTTTTTAAACAAAAATTTCACTCCACATTTCTGACACCAGTTGTAAACCTCTTGGAAACCTCACTTAGAAAACGATTTACACAAAGGAAAATCAACTCCTGAAAGAGGCATAAACTAGTTCTTTTTAACGCAGATCAAGGGGAAGTTATGATTACACATGCAAATGATGTCTTTGTATTTTTCCATTTCACTAGTGTCAATTACAAACGCTTACATATTTTTTAGGAGCTGATTTCCAGCTTTTGCATTGTGCAAATATGTAGTTTCTCTCAAGAAATTTTAGAGGAGAAAATACGTTGTGTAGTACGTGAATGCACATCTTATCTAAAGGCCCATTTTTGACCTCTTGGAAGATTGTTCAGTGCAATTTATAACTGTGGTGAAAATCGTATTTTCTATATGTGTGGGGGGCTTTTCCCCAAACATCTTTTAAAATATGGTGTCCAGAATTCTTGACCATACTCATTCCTTCATTTATAGAAGTTCATTCCCTCATGGGAAACCAAAGTTTTCTCCCATATCCCTGGGAATCTTCTGGGGGCAAACTATATAAATCTTGAGTTTCAGATATGAATATCGATTTTCATCATCTTTCAACCAATTTGTTGACGCCTTTTCAAATTGTCGATGCTAAAAGAATTCTTGATACCTATATTATTTGGTCGATGAAAGCCTCTCTGTTATCTAATGATTTAAATATTCAAATATATCATTCAAGCAATAGAATAGAAAGAACAGAATACAAAGCAGTAGATTCTCAGTCCCTGGAAAAGATTCCCTGATTTTTCCTAAAAGTTTTCACTTTCTGATGATTCCAGGTTTTTCTTTGTCCCGACTTGGATCGCGCAGTCGACGTTTCTCTCCAAAAAGACGAGATCCCTGGCTTTAAAACCTCCCAATTTTCCGTCAAATCTCCCAGGTTGAATCCCTAATTCCACGTTGGGTCCAAATAAAAAGGTTCCTGTGGCTGTCTCGGTCGCCAAGGTCGGTATCCTGGTCTTACGTAAGTGCGGTTCTGGAACCTGACACTGGGAGCTTGTTGCCTTGGATTCTGGAAGCGAATTCTTCCGAGGATGGAGTTTCCTCTAGGAAAAACGTATGGAACCACTCGTTTTTTTCCTCCACGCCAACATTTCGTCTTCTTCCAAGATTGGACTTTAGTCGAAAGGATGCCTGAAAAAAAAACCGGAAAAAATCTTGTGAGCAAAAAGAAAAAGACTTGCTTGGGAAGATATGTATCTCGACTGTGGTGTTTAAAAATTGCTACTTTTACTTACTCCTTTAAAAGGAAAACAAATTATCATAGCTTGAGAATCTTACAGAATAATCAGTCTCAAGCTAGTGCACGTACTTGATATTTTCAAACTTCTCCTTGTAGATATGACTCAAATAATGAGAATGTTTCTCGATTATTTTTCGATTCTTTTTCAAAGAATGCATGATAAATGAGAATGCCTGCGTTTTTCCATTTTTCATGGGATCAAATTTCAGCTGTAGAAAAGACTTACGAAGTTGTCTAAAAGTTAACTCCATTTCAAACGGAAAAATGTTGCGCTGACAGATTTTGTGGTGCCACAAGAAACTTGTCTGCCATATGTTCTTCTACCCACATTTTTTGTATACTTCCGAGATGTAGTCATAATGTACGTTACATATTCACAGTTTCTAAAATTTCTTATTCCCTGACTTTTCTTGCTCATTCCCGACTCCAAATTTTCCAGAATTGCCAGAGTTTTCAGACCACCAGAATCTGATCTGGTATCTCGACCAAGCTTGCAATATTATTGTTCTTTGAAGAGAATTTTTTTGTAATTTTTGATCTTTTAAATTAAGTCGTATGTTAGTCATTAAACTTGGACGACAGCCATGTTTCAATGGATCAAAAGTGGTTGAAAGTTGAAACCATAGGTCGTTGCCTCATAGCTAGTGGCACACACTCAAACCGCCCCATCAATGTGTCAAGGTTAGGGGTTGTGATAAGCCAATCACAACACTTGACCTTGATTGACCGCGTGACACTAGCTCTACAGAGAGAGAGAGGAAAAGATAAACTAACCATGTTGAATTTTGATCTCTGGATAAGGAAACAACAGTGAGACGAAAAATCAGGAAAAATTGCACACTGTTTGACACTCACCCAGTCTGTTGGATAGCCTGAAATAAGCAGCGCAGCCCCATTAATTTTAGGACCCATGTTTATGAGACAAAAATTCTCATTTTGACCTGCTGGCTGCTTAAATATGGAACACCCTATGCACATCTTTTTATTTTATATTTTGTTACTTGATTTCAAACTTTATTTTACACCGCTCTTTACATTCTGCACTTCACTAAACTGACAGCTTTACCTCCAGGATTCCTGGTATGTTTTGTTATTTTTGTACACAAGATCTTCTATATATATATAAAGTCGCTTTACAACGTACTCTGGCGTTCTACGACACCCAAACGCCACATTGCCACACAAGATCTACTGCTGATATAATAAAAATAAGTCAGTAAAAACATTAATAATTTGACAAAAAAAATTGCAAATAGTGACTTACTAGGTGGTTGTTCTTCCTGAGGGAACTCCACAGGGAAATCTGACATTTGGCTATTTCTGCCGGGAAATTCTGAATTGTGTTCAGCACTGACATTATCTATTATCCCAGGAGGGCTTTCTGTTGGTTGTAAAAGTGGTGTTGGGAGTAAAGGTCCTTTCCTCACAGCTGGCAATGTCCCGGTGTGTGTTCCTGCAGATGTTGGAGGCAGCCCCTGCTTTGCAAAGGCTCCTTTCTTAGGGGTCCGTTTTTTCTTTATAATTTTTTTCTTAGCAGAATTGACTAGCACACGCTTCGCCTGTCCTGCTTTCGCAGGACCAACTTTTGTTGAAGCTGCTGCTGTTGCAGAGGCTCCTTGTGCCACTGATGGTTTTGGGACAACTTTCTTCCCTCTTTTTACCTTGGAGCTTGAGCATGGAGCTGACTTGACCTCTCCTGTTGTCACTGATGTAGTGGCCAATACTGCAAATATAATTAAAAAAATTAGTGAAATACTCTGCCTTTAAACGCGGATGACTTTAATTCAGAGGGTGGAATAGAGCCTCGTCTGAAATCAAAAGTAATTTAGGTAGTGTTCATCATCAGTAAGACAACAATGCTTTGCGAGGTAATCTTAGAAAATTATTATTTAACCCTTTCCGGTCCGCAGCAGTTTTCCACGGCCGCGAGAAGCGAGGTTAAGGTAGCAGCGATGTTGTCAACAAAGACAGTGGTTTCCAAAGGGTCCACCAGAGGCCGCCACTTGCTGGAGCAGTTGAATATACCCAACATCAGGCCTGCACAGAGGTTAAAACTTTAGGGCGACTATATCCGACATCGGACCTAAACGCGTTATTTTTCACGGCGAATATATCCGACATTGGACCGGAAAGGGTTAACAATGCTCATACGATCATCCATGAAAAAAGGAATCCAAGCATGCAGGCAAATTCTGAAATTATGTAATATTTGAAGAAGCAGAGTAAAAAAATCAGAAATTGAGTTTGAGGCAAAAACCCTCTCTCCAGTGCCTGAAAAATAGCCTGCAAGCTATTTTGTTAATTTTTCTTCAGGAGCCAGGATAAAATCTCATACTTTTCTGATGACTCTGGGTTGCGATTAGGTCACATTGAAACTTTGAACACATGCATTTGGAAATGCAGTTTTTGAAAATGAAAATTTAGGACCGCATATCTCTTTGTTTGGTTTAACTTTTTCTGTACCAAAAAATTTGGAAAATACTTATTTAAGCAAAATACTTGATTTCAAGCTTTTTGCCTCTAGGATTCATTATTTCATGAAAAATCACATTCAATATTTTAGTACCAGTTCATTGGTTTAATTCGATAATTGTCTGTCCCTTCAAAGATGAGAAATTCTGTTTAAAAACGCAGTTTTTAGGATGAATGAACAGAAATAGTGCCTTACGAATGTCATACTGAATGACATTGTTTCGCAGGGAATGATGTATCAATTAATATCAAGCCATTCTATTTTTTTCATTTTATGATTGTCCGTAAAATGTTACTAATATTTTTACTGCTTGTATGATCTAATCTTAAGGAAGTTTTTGAATTTATTCCTTATTTTTAACGATAGTTGCAAAAGGGTAAAATGTAAGCTCTGGATGAAAATTTATATTTTTTCCAACACACTGCAATTTTTCAAAAAGGACTTGAATCTTTTCCTGTCACAAAAAGCTAGAAATATCATGAGAATAAATGAAAAATCAGGCGACAATTCTGAGAAATTCTTTGAAAATCAAAAACTTGCCTAGATATATTGGGAGAATTTAGACAATTTTTTGAAAAGCTGGGGTAATTTGAAGATCGCGGTAAAATTGTGAAGGTATTATTCCCAGCAGCCTGATTGTTGAAATTTTTTGTTTGTCGAGTGGATACGGATGACATCTAGGTTAAATGGCGAAGCTTGATTGGTCGGCTAAGTCTTATCATTGCTTTGTCGGGTGGAATGGACGACATACTGTCAGAAACTTAAGAGGTGCCATTAGCTTGTCAAGAGTTCAACTCGATATAGGCACGACAAATCAGCGATAAGACAGAGCCGACCAATCTTGCTCCGCCTTTTAACCTGCGTCATCAATGTCGTCCTGACAAACAAAAAATTTCAAAAATCAGGCTGCAGAAGTGAGGGGGCTTACGGAACAACTGGAAGTGTTTTAAAAATTTCTAATCCATTAGGAAGATTTGAGAACTCCCACAAACTAGGAAACCTCCTTAATCTTTCAAAAAAAGTAAGAAAATTCTGAAAATTTCGAAACTTTAAAAAGTTCGGAGGGTTCCATTAATGCTTAAAAAAGAGAATGAAAGTCTCATACTGCTGTGCTAAGGAATAACGCCTTCAGACATTGCCAAGTTTTCTTCAATGAAAACTGAATTCACTGGAAAAATTGTGAATATTTTTTTCCAAAACTTTCAGACAATTTTGTGCACAATTTAATTTAAGTTCTCTTAAAATTTCAAGGAAAAATGTGCATAAATGTGATCAAAATTACATGTTTTATCAAGGGAAATTTGGCGACTCTCAAATGTTTACTCGGTGTTCTTCCTTAGCACCGCAGCATGGCTCCCGCACTTTTTGGAGACTTCCTTAATTTTACAGGTAGCCTGGATTCTACTATTCCATATTTTCTGTACCCTAATTTCTTAGTAACAAATATTTTACGTACCATTTTGAATCTGATCTGAGGGTTGTGCTTGAGCTGAGGAAGGTTGTGCTATAGTGGAGGAGGGTTGTGCTGGAGCTGAGGACACGGCTATAGCCAAATTTGAAGCCGGAGCTGAAGGGAGCTGTCTGTTAGGAGCCGTGTTCTCCAGTTCTTCCAATATCAAGTTGACATCAATGTATTTTTCAACATCGAGGTCCTGCTGCCTGAAGGGGAGATTGACAGTTTTTTCCAGCGAAATATTCCAGACGTTTCCTGGTAACGGTACATTCCATGATAAACCTGAGTGTAAGAAAAACAGAATGTAAAAACCACTGTTTGCCAATTGCCAGATGATACTTAGATTGCATTTTGTAAAAAGGAACCGAGAGCATTCCAGTGTCGCTAAGATTACTTACCTTTTTTTACCTTGCAAATATAAACTGATCATCTAAACAAGTTTTATCACATCCAATGTATTATCAATTCAAGACGAAAATTACCTTCGTAAAATATTTTGCAAGATTTCAGTAATTTTATTGTAAACAATGTAAGCCACGCAATCCTAGCAACAATGGAATGCTCTTGGTTCCTTCTTAAAAAATGCGATCCACTTCATGAATTAGATCAAGATCCTGCAAATCCCAGTATCTCGTACCCGAGTTATATGCAGTTTGCTGAAAAAAGACCACTAGACATACTTTCCAACTAAGCATCACCATATGAGGACTTATCTGTAACAATAGCAGATGTGAAAAATTACCTTTTCGAAACACATTCAAGAAACTGTTTTGGCATCAAGAAAATTTTGAGAAAATACTTGAGATGCGATCTTCGAAATCTGTACATTATGCCAGAGCCAAACATATTAAATTTTTGTGTGAACAAAACAGTTTTTTAAGCGTGTTTCGAAAAGGTAATTTTCACATCCGCTACTATTACAGATAAGTCCTCATATACGTTTTCGGATGAAAATTTTAACTGTGCATTATGAATACCTTAAAATTTTCCACATTCAACTCATAAATTGGGAAATAATGGCTTGTGTCCATCTTAATTCACGCCTCCCGCTCGCAAAATACCAGGGTCTACTCAAGTCAAATGGAGCATTAAACTTAAGTTCAGTTTACAGGATAATCAAAGAATAAGATTTTTTTGGGATTCTTGTGACGCCATGGGGAATTTTCATTCAGAATACCGTGGCAGGCAATGTGTTCATGCTATCCCGCGCAAGAAGCTTATCTGCAGGAGAATTAAAAACCCTTAACTGCCTCAGCTTTGGGTGGTTTTTCTGTGCGCTTCATGTTTCTAGTGACGCATTTGGTAGATGTTGGTTGGTGGAGACTTACTGCAATGAGTCAAGATCAGGTTGGTTACATAGCGATCTATGACCGGCTGATAATGGATACCATCGTTGATTATGTGGTAAAGCTGCATGCGCAGATAGTGATGAATGTCCAGGACATCGTGCCCATACAAGCCGACAATCTGCCTTGCAAAGTTGTTGGCTTCCAGGACATTGAATCTAACGTACGGTTTGAGGAATGAAATCTGCAAAAAGACAGCAATGCAATAAAAGAGATGCAAAGAGCATTTGAATCGGTCATTCTCGAAAAAACTTATGCGCCAGAAATGAGAATTCGAAAATTACAGTAAAAAATGTTTTAATCCACCCGCTCTAAATCTTGGCAGTCAGGAAGCCTTAATTATTCATTCATCTTTCACTTTAAAGTCCACAATAAGTAGAAATAATTTCATTGCATTTATTATATTTCTAAATTTATAAAAACTATATACTTAAAATGGATTACCCTAATGTGGACAAATGGGATTGACATGCCGAATGCAGCTTTGAATGGATCAAAGGACGTTAGAAAAGTTGAATAAAGCCAAAAATCGAGAATCATTGTTGTGTGGTGGGAGCAACTCACCTCAGTAGGGAGCAGCGAGCTACGAATGCTCGACAGGACTGGAGGTGCAGTCAACCACAGAAACATGCATTTTTGTTGAATGCTGGCAGAAACAAGTTGCATCAATTTCACCAAATTGCTCTTAAACATTTTGATGCCGTCGGGTCCCCATCTGAAAAAGTAAAAAAGGAATAATGATTACAGGTGTGACTTTCATTAGAATGGGCCATTTAACACGGTGAGGAATTATGCACTATACCACATGTTTTCGCATCAATATTTTACATGCAATCTTGACAACAACAAAATTGGCATATGGGAAAATTCTTTCATCATAAGAGATACCAAAATTTGATAAATGCTTGTTTTGACTCGAAGTGTGAATTACTGGTAGTCTTGAATACATAAATTTAAAAAAAAAAAAAAAAAAAAAAAAAAAAAAAAAAAAAAACTTTTAATTTTTTAATAGGTAAAAAAAGGAATTTTGAAAGTTTTTTTTTAAAATTGAATTTCACAAATCCTCAACTGTAATTCAAAACTAAATTCTTCATAAAAGTCTGATCATTATTGAATAAGTTATGCGACGTTTTGTAACGCAAGGAGTGATACAATTCTTCTGTGTGTTCAAAACTTTTAACAGGTTTTTCTGAAAACAACGTTTTGGAACCTTCGGGTACACTTTTGTCTCTCCATTTTTGGTTGTTGCAGTGTTTTTCGGTTTGTGTTCATACCATTTGTCTGCGTCAACTTCGATTCCATATTATTTGCAGAGGCTGTAGTGAAGTTGGGGGTATTCTCTGTCGTGTCTCTCGATATAGTTCTTTTGAGCTAGAATTGGGCAATCTGATGTAATGTGCTCAATGGTTTCTTCGAACTGATGGCACATTATACAATTACTCTTCACAAGTTTCTTTTGGATTTTCCTCTCCCGGTACCTAGTGCTTAAGGCTTGATCTTGTGCCGCTACAATGGACCACTAGACAAGGTACGAATTTAAGCGATCTGATACATGTTTCTTAACCAGAATTTCACGTAGAAAACGATTCACACAACGAACATTACTGAAACCAACTCCTAACGGAGATATTAACGTTTTTATTTCACATTGGTTACGAGGAATTTGAACTGCCCGCTCTCAAGAAACTCAAAGCTCTACATAAGTCAAATCGCCCACTACAACGGTTTCAGCAAACTTCTCAATCGAGCAATATTCATTTCCCACCATGTGTTGTTCAAACTATTAGCAATTTGCTATAACTGAGCCAAAGCGTCAAGATTGAGGTTGCCAGATTTTTATATCGCAGAGACTGTCATGATAACGTTTAGCGCGCGATGTGAATCACGTAGAGCATTGAGTTTTCATGAGCGGGTGGTTTGAATTCACGCATCAAGAATCATTAAATATCTTCGTAAGGAGTTAATTTCGATGATTTTCGTTGTGTGCATCGTGTTTTACGTAAAATTTTGGTTAAGAAACGTGTATCAGAATGCTGAAATTCGTACCTTATCTAATGGTCCATTCGGCTCTCTGTTTCTGCTTTTAGCACACCCTTACTGAGCCACATGGTTGAGATGTTACTCTCAATAGAGTCATCTTCTAGCATCAGTGGATACTGTCCGTGCATGCTCTTCCTTTTCCATTTGTTTCTGACGCTTCCGGAGATTTTCTCTTTGACTTTTTGCTTCCTGTTAAGGGTAGTTGTTAGTTCACCTGCTTCGAGATCTGTCCATTTCATTGTGTTGTTCGTGACCTCTGAGTCTTTGATCCATCCAGCTTATTATTATTATTATTATTGAAGGGCACTCATGGAATGCCTACCCAAAATCTCTGGTACACCTTTAGCTGCACTTTTAGAAATTGCGCCTGTCGCTCCAATTAATACTATTCTTTGTATTTCAAATGCCATGTTTTCTATTATTATTAGATCTTTTTGCATAGAACTATCCCAAACCAAACCCACATATGGTAATGCTTGTAGTCAGAGAGCCAGACGACTTTGAGTGACAAACTCGGGATACATGTTTTGACCCCCTAAATCGATAGCCTTGCATGCACTGAAACGGAAAATTTTTGTCTGCCGCCCTCTAGCCTGTGCCATCACCCTCATCTAGGCCCTCAAAGTGGTCCAAAAAACACCATCTGGTGACAAACTCCTGACGCTNATCCCGAGTTTGTCACTCAAAGTCGTCTGGCTCTCGGACTATTGAGCTAAAAGGAACTTTGTCCATAAGGTTTGCAAGCAACATAGTTCCTTTAGGTATGAGTGCGTCCACATAAATTAAACCAGCTTAATAAATACACTTTTTTTAAAGAAGCCCAAAGTAGACATGATTAGTTTGATAATTGCTATCAATTTCAAGAGCAGTCTTACCTGTTGATATCCCAAAGCGTAGAATTCATGACGATAATGTCAGGGTCGATGTGTCCATTCTTGATGTTGTTGAACAATTCAATGACCTTCTCAGAGTAACAAATGCTCGTAAATGAGTATTCCACCAAAATTGAGAAATCCTCCATCTGCAAAACAATTTCAAAGATAAATACAGAACTCTCAATGCTGCACCACTGGGCACTTGAAAAGAAAAGACAACGTAAAAGTGAAGTAATGGATTAATTTGAATGAACCACCAGACAGGGTAGCAGTGGGTGCAACGCATGTTTTCTCGACAAAATTTCACGTAGAAGACTTTGATTACCTATCTCAAAAACTAGCAAAATTAACTCTTACAATAGCAAAGATGTTCATAGTTTACATTATAAATAGTTCTTTCAAGCATTGAAATAAACCTATACATCAAACAAATAACTAGAGCCCCGTTGACACACACTTCCTTCCTCTTCTGATACAAGGTACCTTTGATCTCATCAAACACAAGTTAGTGCACATGGAAATTCTTCCATCATAATATATATATATGAGTCGCTTTTACAGCGCTCTTTGGCGCTTTACGACGCCCAATCCCCACAAAGCTCGGTCTTCCCACAGGTCATCAGGGAGTTGACAATCTCTCATCTCTTTAACACCCCCTGTCGCCAACCTCTCACTGGGCGTCCCCTACGTCTCCTCCCAGGAGGAACCCAATCAAGCATGAGCATCCTTCCATCATAATACATACAAAAATTACTTTCATGCTCAATTTAACTCAAGTAGAATCTGGTTTCTCTGTGAGTGCAGATTAATGCAGACCAGAACCGTGACTTCCTAGGTGAATGAGTTGGATTTGAGTTAAATTTGAAAAGTTGAGGAAATTTTGAAACACAGTAATAAAGATACCTGGTTTCATAATTTGGCTATCCAATATATGCTAGCGTTTAATGTTTTAAGATCTTCATTTCTGATACTCAACCAATTTTCTGCAAAATTTTAGGGCAAAAATTGGATGGATTTAACTGGAGTCAGTCTAACTGCATTAAATATGCCTAAGTTTCTTTCATACTTAAATTTTTTAACAGACAAATTCTTATTTTGACTTGAAATCAGGCATGAGTAGAAGACTGTAAATAGTAAATTACTTTTACAGATGAAATATAAATGATAATAAATACTGTACATTATGGAGATAAGACCGATCTTCAACATAGTCTCGACCTCGGTGCAAACGATCACCACGGATTTTCTCGTCACCGGCAAATGAGTCCTCCAACTGAAAAAAAAGGAAATACAAACATTGAGAAACTTGCACTAAATCATTTGGCTGGCACACGATTTCGTCTGTACGAAATTCCTCTTTAATTCATGAGATAAAAGATGAAAGTCCTTTTACTAAAAAAAAACTTACTGAAATGAGCTGATTGTTCACTTGGTTCCAGTTAGGTATCTTTAATTTCCTTGACAAGTGGAACTTTTGAATTGACTCAACAGAAAACGCTGAGATCTTACTTACATTTTAAAATTTGTCATTTCAATATGTCCACTCTAAAATTTGTTTAGTGTATACAAGCTTAACTTGTACACGCATTAATTGTGCCAGATATTTTTTGTTCTGATGTAAGGGGTGTATGCAGCTAATTTTTGGAGCTTTTTTTCTGAACAAATTCTACATATCCTCAGCTGTAATTCAGGACCAATTTTTTTTAAAAAAAATCTGATAATTTTTGAATAAGTTATACAATGATCTGTGATGCATGGAGTAAAGCAATTCTTCTGTGCGTTAAAAACGTCCCACTGGTTTTTCTCAAAACCTCTTCTTTTTCTCTCTGAAGGGTGCAATTTTTTCAGGATCTACAGTCTCGATGTTTCAACATTTTACTTTGCTTTTTTCCTAACTTTTTTTCTCTGAGTCCAACAGCTGAGGGATTTTTCCTCAATTATTCTTCAAAAAAAAAAAAAAAAAATTGAAGGCCTCATTTGCTAGGTGCCTAACTGTTGTTTTATTTATTTATTTTTTTTTTTTAAATTCATGAAAATTTCAATTCTTAGAAATTTTAAAAATCCTTTGTCTAAAGCTGAAAGAGTCTAGGAAATTAAAAATAATAATTTTTGAACATACATCCAGTATAACATGAGAAAAGTGTACCTTATCGTCAGTATATTTTACATGGTGAAAATAAGGACTGCTGACTCTCAATAAGTAAAATGTAAAAAACGACAAAACAATTTCCTGAAATTCTGAGACTGGCTCATCCTAAGCTAAACAAAAATAAACTGCAAAATGTGCATCATAAGAAACTAAAATTTCATGTAAAACTCAAGTTAAAATTTACTAAAATAGAGTGATGAAAAACCTTTAAAAAAAGCAAATTGGTGATAAAATACCTTACTTACTCTACATAAAGAACACAACAACTGTAAAATATATTACCTTCTTCTTTAGCAGTTCTTGAGGAACTAAAGATTGGAACTGGAGAAACCATACCAGGTCCTTGTATAGCGCCCGAATATCTGAAAGAGGAAGCATTGGTACTGTTATTAAACTTTGAATTGCAGCCATTAGAAAAAGGAGAAAGATGAATTCATAGCGGTCCATACTACTTTAGAGACTGTCGAATTTACCTGGCCAATGTTGAAAATTTTTGACATCATGCATAAGGCCTGGATTTTTCAGAATCATCCGGATAATGTCAACATGACTCAATTTCTACTGGTAAAATATGCATGAAATAGGTGTGCGATTCTTTCAAAAATCGAAATAGCTACTGTAAACGCCACCAACATTTTTGACAATTATAAAATCATGAGAGTAGTGTGTAATGCATAACGCCTGAGGCTGGAAGCACTTTGAAGGGTTGTACCGCAAAGCAGTCAGGGGGTGTAGCCCCCTAATAAAGACAAAGCTCCTGAACAACAGCCTAACAAAGACATTCTAGTGGGAGATGAAAGAGTTTCTTTTCTCAAGAACCAATCTTAGAGCATTCTAGAGTTTACAGACAGAGATGGAGAATGAAAAACGAATGAATTTAGAATTGAGTAAGAAACAACTATCTTAAGAGCATAGTCGGACATAGCCCTCCCCTCCCCCCACAATTCTGCTCGGCCCCTTCCAAAGAATGTCAAGGACCCAAGCTACTAATTAGCTTTGAGGTAAAAGGCATAGGGAATGTAATAAATATGAGCTTAATCCTAATATGATCGATCAAAGATGTCAGAAGATGAAAATTTCTCGCAAAGAGAGCAGCTTCCTCCAAGTAAGGAACGTGGAATGTAGTTTGACTGTACCTGGGTGTGGTTTTTCGTGCATTTTAGCGCAATACTTGTTTTCATGAAAGTTAAATTACGATAAATTCAATTTAAACCCACCCTATGATATGATATTTTTAAAAACAAGTCCGCAAAATTTATGTCATCTGTAATATTTAATTCCGTTTCATTTGTCATTGAGAATGACTTACAATTGCTTTCAAGACATTCCAATTTTCAAAAACTTCCCTGGGGAGACCCCCTAGACACCCCTCTGCAGCTGGGGGAGTCCCCCAGACCCTCCTTAGCCCAAGTTCTATATCCTCCTCTGCCCCCTCCCTCCAAAGAAAATTCCTGGTTCCGCCTGTGCTTAAGAGATAGGATAGATACAGCTGCCCCCAGAACCGAATAAGACAAAACAACCCTGTACCGAGGAGCTCTAGAAGATGTGCGTCAAAGAAAAAGAAATAAATAGGTAACAAACTAATTTTCGAAAGGACTAACTTCATCAGGCAAACTTGATAACAACAAGGTGCGCAGGCATCGGCATACCATCATTCCATTCAGTTCACTGGCTCCAGAAAAACGCAGCCAAAAGAGAAAGAGTTGAACGGCAGAAAACAAGCAAGTCAAAAAAACAAAATAAAAAATTGGAGGGAAAATGAAGCAGCACTCGAAGAATTGGAATAAAATGTAATTGATTTCAGTTAATTTCAATGGGGATAGTAGAAGCAGTTATGAGGGTAATAGCAACTTTTTAAGAAATGCAAACAACTATTAGAGCAAGGGCAGACTTTGAACTTCTTTCTTGTAGCAAGAGAAAAGGCATGAGGGTCGCAAAGGGCAAAAATTTGTATCGCCCAAAGGTTCTGCAAGTGACGTGGGTGTTTTTCAACAGGAGAAGGTCTGCACTCAACTAAGTATAAGTTAATACTTTTTTTCTAGTTCCTTGTTGTTTCTCAATCAGGGCTGAGGGGTGATTTTTGCAAGGATTGACTTGTCTCACACTACAAAGAAGTATATCCAAACAGAACAACAATGCAGTAATGCAGTAGCATCAGACGTCTTTCAATAAGCAGTAATTCAATGCGGAAGCACGCCATTGAGGATGCATCAACCACGGACGAAAACTTACTTGAGTCACCAATGAACAGAACATTTTTGTTCTTCAACAGTCTATTCGCATCAGAATTCGTAAACATGTCAGCCATGACTTACGTTAAGGATTTTGCCAGTCAAGAAGTTAGATTCAAATTTCTTCGAGTTAAAATAGGTGTGCACGTATCGAGAGGAGGAGAACACTTTCTACCTGAAATATGAAGTTTACTCTAAAACCAATGATGCTGTGCCGAGCAAGAACGCTGTTTGAGCCTTCAAATGTTGGCAAATTTCCATTGATGAAGAGCTAATTCTTTGGCAAAACTGGAAGTTTTAATCTTCCAATTTTTAGGAGAGCATTATTTGCAATTTGATCTAGAGTATCATATTTTCAAGAAAAAATATCTGAGAACTTCCTCGAAAATCAATATTTTGTCAGAGACATTTGGCAACATTCAAATGCTCAAATGACATTCTACCCTACCAGAATGGCTCTTTTGGTTGGCCACTGTTAGAAATAGTCATATTTATACTGAATCTTCTTGTGAAGAGACTAAGTAGGTACTTAAGGTGTCATCAGCTAAGTTAGCACTTGTTTAGTCTGTTAATAATCGACTCCGATGCACTTGTCCAATAACGATCGAGAATGGGCCTGTTGCAAACTTTTGCTAGAGCAAAAATAAGAGTTGTCTCTTATAGATAATGCCTCAAAAATCACGATGAGCGCATCGGCAAAGTCTGAAATGCACTCATAACTCCACAATCTCCATAAGAAATTTGCGTTATTTTAAGCTTCCCGCTTCAAAAACGATACTACGGCACAGGTGAACATTTTGTTAGAGGAGTCGCTCCATCGTCGGCGATATTCAGCATGGCTAACGCTTGCGCGCAGTTCCGCGCGTAATTCGAGGAGAGTTCAAAGTCAATCAATTCGGGCGTGGAAAATATGAACGTAAACACGCCGATTGTTATCTGGTCTAATCCAGTTCAGGTGTTATCTCGTCCCATCACACGTGTTTTGGCGGATTGGCGTCGGCCATGATGAGTATTGCCGACGATGAAACGGCTCCTCTTACAAAATGTTCACCTGTGCCGTAGTATCGTTTTTGAAGCGGGAAGCTCAAAATAACGCAACTTTCTTACGCAGATTGTGAATTTATGAGTGCATTTTAGACTTTGCCGATGTGCTCATCGTGATTTTTGAGGCATCATCTGTGGAAAACAACTCTTATTTTTGCTCTAGCAAAAGTTTGCAACAGGCCCATTGACTGCACTCATGATAGGACTGCGGTCAATACTGGATCACTTTTAGCCATTCGCCGAGTTATCGCTTGCAAGTGGAGTATAAACAAAGCCAACTTAGCTGACAACATCACTAACTGCTAGCAAGGGTTTACAAACAGATTGTGAGCATGGGAGCTGGCTCCAAAAAAGAAACCGAAGGTCTTGCATTAAATCACTCAGTTTGTAAATAAAGAGCATGAAAAATACGTCTTCCACTGCAAAAATCT